ATTTCACGAAGTTTGAAATTATTATCGTAACAAATTTTTACTTCACAATAAATATATCTTTAAGAACTAATGTAAATGATATCCAACAATTTGTCGCAGTGGAATTCAATGAAAACTTCTTTTACTAGATGTTCTTCTGAAAATTAGAAAACAAAATTAGTAATCATTTGCGCTGGAAACATTTTTTGGATTAATGTTCAGGAATAATGCAAAAAAGACAGGAAAAAATTCCACTTGGAGCATGTAAATTAGTGAATTCATTTATTTGTTGAAATCTGTGTGCCAACAAGGTTGAAAATATTTCACTTGTCTCTTCTTTAGTTAAATAAAATCCAAATTTTCGGAAGTTTTCAAAAAGAGAGATCGAAAATATTTGCTCCGGTATTACAAGCACAGCCTTCATTTAATGTACCTCAGCAAAATTTTTCCATGAAGATTTCACATCTTGTTCCATTCAGAATAATTTAAATGATTTCTTGCACGATAACTCGAAAGAAATTCGTTAGCTCCAGTAAAAGTAACAATAAATTTAAAAATTCAAAATTTTGAATTAGCAGGAAGTTTTTTCAAAAATAAAAAGAAAAAAATTGCATTTTATTAATTTTAAAAAAATGGTAAAAGAGAAATGGAAAGGTTAAAGAGCAAATGTTTGCTGAAGAAAGCCATAAAAGATGAAGATATTTTACATCGGAAAACCATAGAAAAGAACTTGCGAACAATCAAGAAATTTGAAGATAATCGATTGAAAGGTTCTAAGCTTCGTTTATTTAGCAACAGATATATCTGAAATATGTTTTTTTTAAAAAAAAAAAAAAAAAAAAACTTAAAGAAATGGTTTAACGCAAACATCACAATCTTTTTCGAAGGCCTTGAGATACAATAATATTAGACATGTGACTGCTTTACTATTCAATGTACAAGCAGTGGAGATTATCCAAAGTCCTCGAGAATGTCATTTATTTTCATTTCTATTATTCCTTTTTAAAATTACATGATATCATCACTCAGTACATTAAAAATAAACTAATTTATCAATGTGATATTCAAGTGACTGCGAAATAAAATTATTTTTTCGGAAGAGTCACAATCATCTTTCCAAATAAATGTCAGAATATATTTTATGGACTGAATAAAATGATAATCATGTTACTATATCTGTCAGGAATACAGAAAAAGGTGAAGATGAGAGGAACTGAGCTATTCGGAACATCATTTTTAATTGAGCAAATTCAACAGGATCATTAGATCTACCCAATTATCGGATTGAATAGTTACGCCAACGTACAGCAATTTTTTTTGGTTCCAACTGAAACTGTGAAAACATATGTCTTGGTGTCTGTTGTCTCTCGTTACTGCCCAGTCAGAAAGTGTCGGGATAATCTTTTATCAGAAATATTATTCCTGTAGTAAATTCGCTGGTCTATTTCAGCAATTTGTTTAAGATGATTGAAATATAAACAATTTTCCAGATTTATTATTGTATAGGAAGTTATCGTAATGTGAGGGGACAAGGGATAACAATAACTAAGCGATAAATCAAAGAAATAATTTTATGAAGATATTAATTATGTAGATAGAATAAGGTGAAGATCATCATGATATAAGTGAACACGGCTGTTCGGTAGAGCGATGTAAAAATGAAATCTCTCTTTCAGAAGGCAACGAACCAGCAGTACCAGAAATTGTGCCTTTGCCTATAGAGTTTCCTGATCTTACAGTCAGCAGTCAGACGAACTCTTCAAAGATGAAAAAAAAAAGCTGTTGGAACGGTTTGGGTTGATAGAGCAGGTTATGTGAAAAGCTAAGATGCATGTGATATGAATTAATAACAGTTTTCAACATTACATTTTGCACTTCACATGTAAACCATATTTATTTATTAAATTGAAATGAATTTTAACGCTGATGGATGGTTAATGGAAACCTGCTTTAAGTATTGCAGAATAAATTCCCTGAGGTGCGTTGTTGACATCACTTGTTTTTCGTAAAGTAAATGCCATGATATTGTCTCAGTTTCTTAAAAATACTGCAATTTCGTTAGTAGTTAATAGAATTTGGTTAGCGATAAGATTTATTTCGAGATATCTTATGATTTTATGTGAATAAGCTTTTATTAATGCAAAAAAAAGTAGATGTTCTTTCGGTTATATAAGTTCTTTCATTTCAATATCTTTATTAGTGCAGTTCCTCTAATTTTATGATCTTAAAAATGCGCATTAAAATTATTTTTACAAATGAAGGGAGTATTTTCATTTACTTTATTATTTTTGTTCCTTCTAATTAATTAACTAGTTTGTTCAGTTAGATAGTTATTAAATTTATTCTTATAAATTACAATACTGCATTATTTACCCAACAGATTTTCAAAAAAAGCAACGGTACATACTTGTCTGTTCCACTGTGTGCTCTTTACTGGTCTTAAAATTTTATTATACTTACCAGAGTTAAAAGTCTTAAAATTACTTCATACAATAATGTATTAATAGATTCTTAAAAAATCATTTCAATCATCACACGGATAGTGAAAACTTTAAATTTGGTGAGAGTAAGTGAAATAAGTGAAGCCTTATTGATGTAAAACTAAGATTTTATAAAACATGTTAATTTCACTCGTTTCATTTCCCATTGAGCCACATCCGGAAGAAGTGAGAAAAACAATTTTAAAGAGGAATAGGCTTCGCTTCCTATTTTTGCCAATTTTTACTTTAAATAAGTTATTAAATGAAAAGCAGTGGTGTGCATTACGTTTTGAATTTTAAAATTTTGCGCATTATTGCTAAAAGTTTCCAAAGATGAATCACATCATGGAACAACAACGATATTATTTGAATCTGGTTGAAATGCCACCATTCTGTATACCTTGAGTATTTCTTCAAACGTATTCTTTAGTATGTCAACAACCAAAGATAAATATCTGAAAGTCGAATGATTTAATTTTCTTAAATGGTTTAAATAAAAGAGTAGTTATTAAGAAATTTGATTAAAAGTTTTGGTCTTTTTCAATGAAAAAAGAAAAAAAAAAAAAAGAGAAGAGAAGGACTTCAGTAATGATAGTTGTCATTTTAGATAAGATCAGTTGGCTTCTTAATTATTGTTTATTGAGTAATAACGGGATGCTACTAAAGTTTATTTCTACTAAATGCCTCTATTTCTCCTTATGAAAAGTGCATCGTTGCTTATCGTTAAAATGTTTCTTTTTTCCGCTGTGTTATTCGAAATAAAGTGGTAGTATGCTTCCCATCAAAATTTATCCATCGCATAAATTAGATTTGCAATTTGCTTGCAGATTTTATTTGTAGATTTCAGAGTATTTTCCAGATTTGAAAATGTCTAGCCTGGCAAAACTTGAAAATCGTATCTCTTGTCTCTTATGCATTTGGCAAATCCGTAGGGAAAGCATGGATTGCTATTGTAGAGAGTGAAAACTGAGCACTTCATAAGCAGCTGTGCAAACGAAGCGGCTGTGTAGTGCGCTTCACGACGTATCGTCGTCATCTTCTACTTTTCCTTTCCTTTCCTATCATGCAAAATTGCATTTTGTTGTCCGCGTTCGAAAACTACCGAACTTTTTATGATAATGAAGGTGTAAACATGTTGTGCGCTTATTCATCTATTCCTTTTTGTTTCGCACTTGGACAGATGCTTTTATCAATAAAAGCACTCGTTTTTGTTGGTCTGAAAGGCCATGAAACTGAGGTTCTTTTCATAGAAGGAAATTTAAAACGAATTAGAAAAAAACGAATAGATGTTTTTGATGTCTTTGAGCGACGCGCGGTCATACCAAACCTTTAGCATATGATATATTCATTGTTAACCACTATATAACTGCCTAAATTTCATTTTTCAAAACATTAATTCAAGTTCCAAATCAAATGTATTGAGTGTTAAATTCAGTTTTCACCTGAATATCAGGGTCGGTGAAAGATGGAAATCAGACTCCTTGAACTATCCAGAAAATATTTTCACTACTCAAACTCTAGAAAGCAGTCAAATTTCCCCGACTTCCTGCTACTCTGATAGTCTGGTTAACAACTAGATGCACCATTGCTGAAATGAACAGATAGTCTGAAATTCTGCATTCTGGCTCTGGAATACCCTATTCCCATGCCAAAAGCAACGGCAAAAATCTATTGGAAGTTTGCTACTTTCTCTCCTATTATCTTATCTTAATTTTTCCATGAGGAATTTATTTTTGATCATAAACTTTCGAGAGATAGATAAATTTTATTGTTTTACAGTGGATGATGATGACTCGGTTTCCCTGTTTTTAATTTTTGTATTGATAAAGGACTAATGCGACTGATTGCTAATCAAGCATTAAAGTAAGGGCGGTACGAGATGATTTCCAAAAAAGCAGTTGTGAAATGGATGATGCAGTTGTTCATACAATACGAAAGTGTTTTTAAAGAACAACCTCATTCGTCATCCTGACAATCCGTCATCGATATCTATCTGGTTAGATCAGTGTTATCCCAGCTATTCTATATTTATCTCTCCCTCAAAATCTTTCAATCAAACACGTAAGTTTTTTTTTTGTATTCTCCAGCATAAAATTTTTTTAGTTTTAGCCCACCCATTCATTTTGAATTACAGTTAATAACAGCAGTTAAGCTAGTCAGTTCAACTAACAAGCAATTTGCCGACCGGTTAATTGTTTTGTCCCTAGTAGGATCTGTTCATCTTGGTCATATTTATCAGCTTACTATTTTAAAGTCAACCTTTCCCTTTGCTTGTTTCATTTTCTTAAAGTAGCTGAACTCCTTTTGGAATTACCCATACAATTATAAATCAATCCCGATTTTGTTCTAATTACCTAAAGGAAATGGGTATCAATGAAAATACGCTTTAAACATTATGAAAAGATGATACAACAAGTGAAGCACATCATCATTTTCAAAATTGCAATCTTACAATTTCACGATTTCATAATCGAACTCAATTATGCTTCTGTTTTAGAAATGCTAGGTTCAGTTTAAAAAAATAACTAGCGCATTCTAAAAACAATCCTCAAGGATAAGTCATTCTAAGTAGTAGTGCCGCAGGTAACAACAATTGAGTTTACCTGTTCTCTGCTACTTAACATGACCATCCATGCTTGAACACTTAACTCGCTTTATCCTAGAAACTCAATTCAGTTCAGAAATCATTCCTTAGGTGTACTATCCACGCATTCATTACTTTCGATTATAACAGTAATAAAAATTGAAAAAAAAAAGAAAAAAGCTCGGCAATGCTGAAAATGCATCTATGTAATTTCCCATCTGGACAGTTCCGAAGCGTTGAGAATACCTTAAAATCTCAAAACTACCCTGTAGAAATGTGGAAAACCAATACATGCAGCTCTAGATAATGTCCTTCCCCACTGGCTTTCTTTACCACTCCTTGGGCACTCTTACTTTTTTTAACTTCTGTGATTTTTTGAATCATAAATTTTGCTCTAGTACCCTGTCCAATTAAAATCTGTTTGCACTCTGTATTACTGGAAAACTTTTGAGAAATTATCGTAAGAATCATCCAGATGTTATGTTTTCAAAAACCCATAACACATATAAATTCATTTGTTAGAACATACCAACTCTTTTTCCACAGATTTAAATGTCTCCAGTTCACTAACAGTGTTCATTTCGTTCACAGAAATGGTTCAGAGTCGAAATACTAATACATACTCTCATGTATCACTCGGAAAATTATAATAGGCCAACTGGATAGCATTAACAAACTAAGGTGAACCAACTTTAGTAAACTTCGTGAGCCAAATCTTTGTGTTTCTTTTATTAATAAACTAAGTTCAGTGAACTTCGTGAATAATGCTACTCATCAGTAATATGGCATGGGTCGAGACATGCAATATGAATATAAATTTCATTGATAACTTCCCAAAATGATAAGACGGAGATGAGAAATACGTAGCCTTTAGTTGTTGTCAATTAGTTCCGTATTATTTTTGTAACCCTTTTTAATTTAACGAATTCTTATAATATAAAACATTACCAAAAAAAAAAAAAAAAACATTGAAAATATTACTGAAATCTATGCCTAAAAATGTTCTGTCAGAGTCTAATTTTTACCAGAGTCTAATGAAGGAGTGCTAAAAAGTTTCCATCTAATGATTCAGCGGCTCACACCCACCTGAATTATTTTGCTTTTCCTTGTAACTATTCCTTGTCACTTCTTTCAACACCAATTAGCAGGTTTTTTAACAAAAATAGAATTTAAATTTGTTGATTTACTTCAGTCCAAACAACTTGGTAGCAAGTTCTGTAGAAACATTTCATATTTTTGTAACCCTCTTTAATATAATTAATTCTTATAGTATAAAACACATTTTTTCTACCAATTTAATTTCAAGCTGCAAAATATGAAAAGTTGCCCATTCCATTCTCGCTCGCTCTAATAGCTGGAACAACTTTTCCTGATGATCAGGACAATCACGCTTATTATTCTTAGGAAAAGCTGTAGTGGTAAAAAGCTAGCTTCTTGACTTTTTTCGAATTCTCTGTACTAATAATGCTAGAAAGTCAAAAATGACTCATATTAACTTTAAAATTTCAACCTGCTATCAAAAACTCATTGGAAAAAAAGCAAGAATTACCAAAATCAATGCTGCCGAATACGAGCTTTCGAGAATATTTAAAAGATAAGCATATGTTTTTTACTACAATCACAGCTACGACATAGAATACGCTAACATAGTGAATAAGTTTCCAAGCAAATATATTGTCATTTGAAATTTTTGGTTGGCATTCATCCTATTCTGCTGCAGTGTCTTATAGTTGTTTCAACTTATTTTTTTAGGAATTGGTATGAAATACAAATGAGACTTAAGCAGAATATAAAATTTCCTGCTTGATTCTATACAAATAAACAATACAGAGAAGATATATTTCAAAAATTTTCAAAAGACATCTTTTGTCGCTTCTCGTTTTTTTTTTTTTTTTCCTTCTTGAAATCAGGATTAAAGTAATGTCTAGTTGGACTAGAAGCTGATCGAATTGGGTAGCACTGTGACCATTTTGGTTATAAATAATTCTAAGATAATCTAAAGCTATCAATTTCCAAAAAGTACAGAAACTATGCAGGTAACTACTCGTAAAGCACAGTTCACACAATGACAAAATTTGTGACATAATGGGTCAGACGACAAAATGACAATGTTCATAGTCAAATCTTTTATATTTCGAAAAAAAATATTACTCAGTTATGGAAACTTCAAATTATTTCTTATACAAGGCTGTCACCAGTAAATTATTACGATGCTCAACTGTAGACATTCTACCAGTTGAATGTCTACATTTAATTTGCTAAGAGAATGAAAAGATTATATAGAAATACCAAACTGCTCTCCTGAAACATTCAACATGACATCATTTAAAATATCATGTAATGAACCTCCTCGCTTCCTCTGCATGATAACAGATTCTTCGCTACTACAAAGTTTCCTCACTTCACATCGGAAGCTCTACAACACATCAAAATCTTACCTGCACAGATTGCGTAAACACAAATCAACATCTCTCCCGATGAGTATTTCACGGCGGTCGCCCCTCAACTATGACAGACAAAAGCCTCTTTATTTCCTTCTTTCCATCTTGGTTGACCTTGCCCGTCGGTTGTTTCTATGGAGTTATGGATGAATGACAGTTTAATCATTCTCGTCTCTACAAATTTCGAATAAGCGATTTTTACCTTGTGTGAATGTTTCTTGAAATGTATGTCGTCTAAACTGTAGGTTATGCGGCTATCAATTCGATATTTCGTTGGTTCAGGAGGGAGACTACCGGATCGTTTTCATAAAATTGATATTTTTCACATGAGGAATTCTTTATCTATATACTGTGGGAAATGTCAGAGATAACTGTTTTTTTTTTTTGTAAAATCTCATGAGCTATAAATCTGTGAAATAGGACATGCGATAAATAGTGTTTCGGTGTTTCCGTGAGCGGGTTGCTTGAAAGCTTTAAACATATCAGTATTATTTGATTAATTTTAAGGACACTTTGGCAGTCATGTCGGGTGGTGATCCTACATACGATACTATGGTGACTGGAGAGGTGAAAAAGGGTGAGAATGAAAACAGGGATGGCGATGTAAAAGATATTCGATGTGAAGTGGTTGGCCGAAGGCAAAGATTACTTTCACTTTCTGTGCCTCGTAAGTTCGTTTACTTGCAACCATTGTTGAATAATTAACATAGTTTGGCGTTAGCAAACAATCTTCCAGAACTTCTTTGTTGAAAAAAATACAGGTTTAAATTTTAGTTATCTCCCACCACTGTGTTGTTTTTGATTGAGATAGGTCGTCATAAAACTCTGCTTCCTGCCACTCTTAATGCTGTAAAGTTAAAGCAGTAAACAGCTGTTTTTATAGCATATTCATATGGATTTTTAGGATGAAATATTTTTTCATCTATATTTTTCATCATTTACAAGTGAAAGTTGTTCTTGTTCTTTAAATAGTTTACGAAGATGGTAATGTAATGAAATGTTTGTATTTTCTCGGAATTCTTAACGAAGTCATATGTTAATCCGTGAAATTTATCGTGCTGGTAGTTTTGATTATGAGCCTCAAATTAGTCACATGCCGTTTGAAATTTATCCCTTCTGCTTCTTCTTTGTTATTGCACGTTCTACATCGTCTTTAGTCGTGTAGTATATATTTTATTTATCAGGTATCTCTTTTTTCTTGTTTGTATTAGTTTGCAACTCAACTCAGTCTGTCGCAGTTTTTATTCCGGAATTGAAATTTGGTCTTTTGTCAGCATAAAAGCGCATTGCTACATAATTTTTAATTTTCACAGTACATGTTTTTACGTTTTGCTGAAATTTTGTAAGATCAGAATCGAACTAACAGAGTGATACTGGTTGAGAGAATTCTATAAAGTTCTTGCGTGGAATCCTTGCCATTGCTTTTGATGAATTTCGTGAGTATTTTTGTTGCTGATTTTTGATTTTTTTTTTTTTGTCGAGTTTTTCTCGAATTGACTTACATATCTATGATGAAATTTTTTCGTTTTTGCCACCTAACTAACATGCTTAATATACACCAAGTGTTCTATATCGTCGCTCAATTTATTCGTAATATATTAGAAAATACTTTGATTGGATCTAGAACTACTGAAGGAAAACAGAATCTTCTATTACATATTAATAATTTAATCTGCCGTTAAGTAATTTATTAAATATTCTGTAATCTATTAAATAATCAGTCTTTGTGTTTGAGTCAATGATGGAAGCGATGTGACGAAATATAAAAAATTTGTTAGAAATATTTTTTGAATACTTTTGTATTTTGTTCCAGAAATATGCTAATAGCAGCAGGATAAAATATTACTGAGATGTTGAGATCAGCTTTTTGCGTCTTTCTTGTTTTTTTTTTTTTTTTTTCTAAAAAAAAATATTTTCAGCAATGCCATGGTTTGGTATTGATATAGGAGGCACATTGGTAAAACTTGTCTACTTCGAACCGGAAGATCATGCAAGTTTTGGACGATTCAGAAATTATGTAGAATCGTGAAACATCGCAATCAGTATTTTTCAGAGCTAGTTTTTGTTAATATCAGCGTTTGCACTATTATAACTCATCATTGTATTACAGAATGATTTTATTGAAAGTGAAGAAGAAATCTTACGACGTAGGAAAATTCAACGTTATCTTGTAACAGGCAAAGCCTATGGTGGTACTGGTGTAAGGGATGATCACCTACGTCTCTGTAATGTCGGAATCAATGTTGGTTATTATTAGAATTTTTTTATCGTTTATTTTCCTACCTTAATAATGTTATAATGAGAAGTTTCAAAATCTTCATAGCAGAATAAGTTTAGTAAAGAAATAATTTTAGGAAACATGGTTGGTGCTTAAATTATTTCAGGTTGCTGTGTTGAGAATGTGGTAATAGACATTTAAATACGTGCATTTAACTCCACTTTTCATTTTTTAATGCTATTTTGTTCAGGGCAGAGTTGGTACTATACATTTTATTCGATTTCCAACAGACAGAATGCTTGATTTTGTAAATTTGGTTAAGAGGAAGGGGTTCGCCGAAATGAGCAGTACAGTATGTGCTACTGGGGGCGGCTCTTTAAAATATGCCAAAGAAGCGGCGGTTTGTCTTTTTTTTTTTTTTTTTTGTATCTGTGGAATTCATTTAAAAACAAGCTCATTTAAAATCAGTTGAATAGAAAATTTGTTTCGCTTCTACTATGTTATTAAAGTTCGTCATAATTAAGTAATATTAAGAATCTTCATTAGCAGTTGTTTTTATCGGAGAAGGATGAAGTTATTCTTTTAGGATTTGGGTTTGCAGTTGCACAAAACTGATGAATTGGAATCGTTGATTAAGGGTATTGAATTTATTGCTGCAACAAATCCTGACGAATGCTATTATTATGAAAACCCCTTGAATGATATTTTGTGTAGAAAAGTAATTTGGTATGTTATTTATGATCATTAATCGTTTTTTGATTTAATTTTTACATGATTCTCTAAGACCTTGGAATTTGCAGGCGGTGGTCACACGGTCGCTGCTCAACATCCGATTCTGTTCCTGAAAGTGACAAGAAGGATGGCTTGCAGTACCCATACATTGTTTGCAATATTGGTAGTGGTGTGTCTGTGTTAGCTGTACGTGGTCACAATCAATTTAAGCGGATTGGAGGCAGTAGGTAGTAATTTTTACCATTACATAATAGCTCTCGAATTTATATATTTGCTCAGTTACTGGACGCGTGATTTCAGCATTGGAGGAGGTTTCTTTCAAGGTATATGCGCAATTATGTGTGGATGTGAAACGTTTGAAGAGGCGATTGAGTTAGCATCACGAGGAGACAATAAGAACGTTGATAAGCTTGTGAAAGATATTTATGGCTCAGGTTATGATCAAATGGGACTTCCAGGAGATGTTATTGCCGCCAGGTAATTCTTGCATACCTTTCTAGAAGTGCCGTCATTTCCTGTCTGTTTTATTTTACTTAATTATAGCTTTGGGAAAATATATAATAAGGTGGATCGCGATAAAGCACGTATTGAAGACCTTGCGCGTTCGGCACTGGTGACTACAACAAACAATATTGGTTCAATTGCATTTAATGGGGCGAATACTTGCGGAATTGACCGAATTGTTTTTGTTGGTAATTTTTTTTATTGAAAGATATTGAATGTTATGTATGATAGTAATTTAATAGTCTTGATTTTGATTGTGTCTTTCTTAATCACCACCGCATTTTCACTTATAAATAGCATTCCAGGAAATTTTCTGAGAGTAAATCCTATTGCTGCAAGACTGTTGAGTAATGCTATGAATTTTTGGTCAAAGGGAACGAAAAAAGCACTATTTTTGATACATGAGGTAAGATTGCTTGATTAATGGATACTCGTTTTACAGTATTTTTTTTAAGGCATCTCTTATCAATAAAATATTTTTCTTTTAAATTCATTATTAGTGTCCAATATAGGGTTATTTTGGCGCGGTTGGATGCTTAGATAAATTGGTCGATGTTACGGAGACAAGAAGGCGAATACGTGCTGAAAATCAACAGCAGGAAGACAACAATTACATCAAGAAAGGATCGGAGTTATCAGTAGAGTAAAAAATAAATCACTACTTTTTTTGGAACTTAAACATCATCTTCTCGTTATTGGTGAACAGTAATATCACGAATTTGAAATGGTGGAGATTATTAGTAGAGTAAAAATAATTCACAGCTTTCTTTGAACCTGCATATCATTTTCCCGTTTTTGGATGACGGAACGAAAAAAGCATTATTTTTGATAAATGAAGTGAGAGTAACTTTATCTCTTCCTCATTTTTGCAAATGTAGACGTTTCTTTTTCGGTTTTTTGATTCGTATAGCTTTGGAAAATTCGTATCGATTTAATTCACACTATTGGGAAAAATAACGTATTTAAAATTTCATTTGATATTCCATTTGTTGACATTAGATCATAGCTGATTTCCACTGTTATCATTACTCATTCACATGGTGATTGGTCTGATAAAAGATCACTACTGATTATAGTCTTGTGGATTTTGCAGTCTTGTTTTTTAATTCAGATATTTAGTTTTCTCTTTAAAAGTGGTGTTATTTCTGTTCGACCATTTCCGTTGTACAGATGGTTTGAATTTGTTGTTGAATCTTTTTTTAAGTAAGCTTTTCAAATATTAGTGTTGACTGTAACAATTTTTTCTACTAGATATGTTATTATTTGGCTAGGTTCGCTTCTACTATTCAAAATCAGAATTGAAAATAGTTATAGTGCCTTCAAAATAGCTATGTTGCTCATCTTTTATTTCATTCATTTTATTGTGAGGACATTCTTTTTTCATACTGAATTATTTTCAAGTAATTTATTATTGATTCTGTTTTCGTTTTTTTTTTTTTTTTCGGGGAAATTTTCATAAATTTTCCATATGTTTTGTTATCTTTTTTCTCATTTCATAGTTACTCAATACTTTAAATTTTTGAAAGCATTAACTTACCGTACAGGGCTCAAGATTCGATTCTTATTTTGTTATTGATTATTGTAATTAAATTAGCATTTCCCCTCATTAACCTTTTCTTAATGGTATATATGCAGTCATTGTTATATAACTACTTGGTTTAACATTTGTTTGGACATAGAGGAATCATATTATGTGACTTTCTGGACCGTTACTACGTTGCTGTTAGTTTCTTGTGAAAATCTTAAAGGTATGTCATTAACAGTCAATCTTTTGCGGAAATATGCAGTAACTTCATTGTTGCCTTTCAGAATTATTTTTTCCTTTTATATACGAAGTATTGGAACATAAATATTACGAATAGATTATTTGATTCGAATTTTTTTCTGTTTTTGCCTTACCTATTAGTAATTCACTTAATTGTACCAGTATAACTTGCTTTCTAATTTCACTTTGACCAATTTTACATCTATCATTCTGCAAACATTCTCAATTTTAATATTTTGATACATAATTGTGTAAATTTATATTTTTGGTGTTTTGGGAATTGATGTTAATTCCTAATTGTAAGTAGTATAGCATTTATTTTTCATGTAATTATTTACAAAAATGAACTGTTTTTCAGGCGATTTGTTCGTTTTTCTGTTTCACAGGTCTTTTAAATGTTTATCTTGATGTGTAGTTAATCTTTGGATTGCTCTTTCCGGAATTATATTGTAGTTCAGTTGGTCAAGCGCACATACATACCTGGACATCTTTTTGTTATTTCTCATTTTAATAGTAATTCCACTCATTTCATTGTTCTATTCAGTAATAAAAAAGATGAACTGAAATAATTGACAGTGTCCGTTGCTCTGCAGTGGTGGTTTATGCACTTCCAAATACCGTATTTGGTTAGTATGTAACAGCTTTGGGAAAGCGTTTATTTCAATGAATACTTGATATGTGCAGAAAATTCATGCAGTTAGGGAACCCTAGTATTTAAGAGTTGCCGGAAAAATCGTAATGAAATAAAAGCTAAAGACTTTTCATAACTTGGAAAAATGGCAAGACCAAATGCCTAACGAAGTGCTACTCGCTGGGGTGATGCAGTAATTGAAGACAAATGTGACAATTATGGAATGAGTTGGGAGTGACGTTGATGAATGTTATCGAAGTTAGGCTCACTGTAACGGAGACATGTGGTGATAGTTTGTAATACCATTCTCTCAGTTTGAATTAGTAGTGATATGTTGAAGTGCAGCACGGACTTATTGCTGTTCGGGTAACTATTTCATTAATTAGAAGAAATCAACTTACAAGTTGGCAGTCAATTAGAAATTCACATTCATTTTACATTCCATATAGTACATTTATGGGTATAAGGAAGCTGCCCCTTGATAGCCATTAAGTCGGTATTTTGTAAGTCGAACGATTCGTCCATCATTTGTTAGAAAATATCTAAATTATTTAAATTATAGTTTCCACATCGGTAATTTCGCGTGTCAAATTTCGATTCTTGCTGCTTTATTAGTTTACTGCTGATTTTGCAATTATGCGTTAATTATTTCATAGTTGATTGGTTCATTTCAGTATGTTTGTAAAAAGGCGCGGAATGTATCTATAATATTAAAAGCTTGTGATGGCATTATATTTTCATACTTTTTTCCGTCTTAATATGGATGCTAATATTCATTTTATATTCAGTTCCACTTCCGCTATTTAACAGGGAAATTCCGAGCGCGATGATAGATTTCACAGCAGAATATTTATTTGTTTTCTTTTGTACTGTATTCCTTCCCACTGTTTTATTAATCGTCCTAATGGTTGTAACTCTTTCTTTATTTGGCCAATCTGTTGGCTTTAACCATTACTATGTTAGCTGTTTGCTCAAGATTTTTGAGGTAATATTTTTATTCTAGCAGGATAAAAAATGCTATTTGAATAGAAAGAATCATAGTGTTTATGCTCTGATACTCACCCATTAAAAATGGGTAATAGTTTACAGTGGAGCGCTCGACAAATACACTTATCAGCTAAGGAGAAAAGTCAGAGTTCACTAACTTTGTGCATGGAAGAAGATGACAGTGGCGATATGGACAATTCAGATCTGGAACTAGAACATTTAACTACTTCCGATGATGACTTTATTGGTGAGAAAATAATAAAAGGTTGCAAAAGAAGACATTCTGGACCAAGTGAGTGGATTTTTTTGAAGTTTTTCTTTAAGATTCGTTACTATCACAACTTTAGAGACAATGTTAGAGATATTTCTTCAGGGATAATATTTCGAGAGACATCGGTGCATTTTGATGATGAAAGTGGACAACAAGTTACGAATATTCGGGGTTGGGCTGTTGTACGCGACACTATGCATCTTGTCAAGGTCTTTTTGAACCAAGTATCACAGCAGATAGAAAGTATCATAGGAATGAGCAATTAGGTATTATTTTAGTTAAAAGGACTCTTCAATTCGTGCTTTTATGGCAAACAGTTCTTTAACTGAAACCGACTGTACGGAAAATTAGTTTACTATTCTATAGAAGAAGTGTTTGTTTTTGTTTATGAACTCGTTTGGTAAAGATATATAAAGATATCTTCCTTTAGACATTCTGGACCAAGTAAGTGGATTCACTTGGTCCAGAATGTCTATTATTTTTTTCTCTAAACTTAATAATTTCAGGCAGGCATCGAAGCGGTTATTCAGGATGATGTAACTAGTCGATTTGAAGCTGAACAGCTCGTCTCGTGGAACATGCTTACACGAACTAGTTTATCTTTCAATCAGTTTATCAAGTACATTTTGGAGTTTTGGAGTTAACCTTATTTGGTTTAACTGAAATTAACATATTCTTATCACGTTTTTTGCAGTTGGAAATTGTCGGTTATTTGGGCGCTAGGTTTTTTGTTTCGATATACAGTGTTACTTCCGATGCGTTTGGTTCTGTTACTCACTGGTGTTAGCTTCATGGTTGTTAGTACAGCCGTGATTGGGTTATTGCCAGAGGGATCCCAAAAACGATGGTTCAATGAGCGTTGTATGTTATGTGGCCATCAGATATTATCCAGTTGTGTGTCTGCCGTCATCACGTTCAATAATCGTGAAAATCGGGCTCGAAATGGGGGTAAGTATTCTTACGTTAATTAGGTTATTATCTATATAATTTCCTCTTTGTCATTGCCAAGTTTTTTTAAGGAATCTGTGTTGCAAACCATACATCACCGATAGATGTAATGATACTTAGTACGGACTGTGCATATGATTTAGTTGGACAACGTCATAGTGGTTGTCTTGGAGTTTTGCAGCGCGCTCTTAGTAGAGCAAGTTCTCATATATGGTTTGAACGAGGTGAAGCTCGAGATCGTTCGTTTGTTGCAGAAAAGTAAACTATTTAAAGATTTTTCATGATCTTTTTGGGCTAAACAGCTAAACCAATACATTGTAAAATAAGTTCATGAACGAATTATGGTCACAAAAAAATATAACAGTTTGAGAAAAAAATTTTAGGACTTTTAAGTAGCTAATCTTATTCGCGCTGCTGAACACTTTTTAATTCTAGATTGAGAGAACATGTCGACAATAAGAATTTACTTCCAATTTTGATTTTTCCTGAAGGCACATGCATCAATAATACGTCAGTGATGATGTTCAAGAAAGGATCATTTGAGGTGTGCTATATATGTTGCGTGTTTTGTGCTAATTACTGCATTTATCATATTAACACGTTAACAGTTAAGGTTGGGACAACAATCTATCCAATTGCAATGAAATACGATTCTCGTTTTGGTGATCCATTTTGGAATAGCAGTCAACATGGATGGTTTGAAAATTGCTTTCGCATGTTTACGTCGTGGGCTATTATATGTGATGTTTGGTATCTGGAACCTATGATGAAATTTGTAAGTATTTTTCCTATCATGCAATCAAAAAGATAAAATGACTTATACTGGCAAATTTTTTTTTTTTTAATCCTGCATATAAAGCAAATCATATTAATTTTACGAAGAAATAAGATACAAAACAGGAAAAGGAGTTTTTCTGTCTTAGGAATATATTTCGGCGAGTTAGCAAATTTTTATATGTTAGAAATTATCAGCTTAAAATCGCTTGATGCTGTATGATGCTGTTGTAGAAAGATTTTTTTTTCTTGTAGTTATAACGTAGTTAAT